TTCCCCTTTGGAGTGGCACTCTCAGGAGCTCTGGAAGGCTCTGGGGCAGATTTGGGCAGTGGCTTTTCCTCTGCTGGTGCTGAGGGCTTCTTCTCTGCCGGCGCAGGGCTTGGGGTCTTGCTTTGCTCAGCAGCCCAGAGGCTCCTTGCAGGAGAGTGCTGCTGCTCAGGGGGTGCCGCCGGCTCAGCGGGCGCTGGTGCGGGCACTCTCTGCTGCTGGCCGGCAGCTGGTGGCTGGTGGCCTGGGGAGCCAGTGGGCATTTGCTTTGGTGTAGGCAGCGGCATTGGGGCAGGGTCGCCGAGGCTGCCTTCGAGCAGCCGCTGAGTTTGGCAGTTCAAGCATAGCCATTCGTTCTTCTGCAAAACAGAGAAAGGAAAAGTTCTGTTTAAATGCTGGGAGCCTTGTCCCAGCAGGGACCTCACTGAGAAGCTCAGCTGATGGGACACCTGGCGATGGTGCAAAGGACTCAGCCCACCCAAACCAAATAACCAGCTTCAGAGAGGCCAGGTGGTGAGCAGGCAAGTGCCAAAACGCCGGCGTGAGCTGCAGAGGGCTGTGAGGTGTTGGAACCGTACCCTACAAACCATCTAGAAGAGACCGACCATCCAGCTTAAACCTACCCCTACCCTTGTCCAGACCTCAGCAATGTTCAGACAGAGGGACCATAGCTACGACACAGGGATTTCACATTCTCCCCCATGACACCTCAGCCTCACCGGCTCTTTTCATCTCCAGTGTTGCCAGTATTTTGGTGTTAAGTGAAATTAAACAAAGAAGGTATATTACTACCATAGCTTAACATTTCTCAGGCTCCATGAAGCTTCCCTCTTGCTCTGATTTGTTTTCCTTGATACAACAAAGGTTTAATCGCATAATCATAATACTTAAGGATCTTTTTTTATAGGTTATCAGAAAATACTGGATATACAAGTACACAAAAATTTCCCAAAGATATTACCCAAAGTACATGCTGTGCAGGAAAAGAACAAGACAATCTTGTCTAGTGAAATTCTCAGCAAGAGCCATCGTTTTATGGCCTGGAAAAAGCAGCTTGGAAGCAGGGCTGTGAGTGGCAGAGAGCTCAGAGGGCTACGGCAGGGGCTCTGCATTAAGAGATCAGAAGCACTTTCCCCTCCCCCGAGGTTGTCCAAGGGCTATTTTTACCCACCCAGGAATGTCCAGGAATAGGGGTCTGACATTTCCTTCCCTTTGATGTTTCATCATCTTAAATCTTTTCACTTTTGCTGCTAACAGCCTGATATGCTCCAAGCCCTTTTTCCCGGACTCCTCTTTTGCTGATCCGTTGCTCTCAGAGCTTGGGGTGGCCAACCTGGGGGGTTGGCTGGCCCTAGAGGAGCTGTCACAGAGGTGGTCTTGGTCTTCAGCTGGACCAGCCTGGGACTGGGGCTGCAAGTGTCTGCATCTCCTGGGGCCACAGAGGCCATAGTCTTCATGCAGAAGATGAGGTTCACCAAAATGGCCTCAAGGAAATGGCCTCAAGTTGCACCAGGGAAGGTTCACACTGGATACTGAGAAAAATTTCTTCACTGAAAGGGTTATCAAGCCCTGGACCGGGCTGCCCAGGGAAAGGGTTGAGTTGCCACCCGTGGAGGGAATTAAAAGACGTATAGACATGGCGCTCAGTGGTGGACTTGGCAGTGTTAGGGTAATGGTTGCACTCAATGATATTAAAGGTCTTTTCCAACCTAAATGATTCTACAATTCTGTTCTATGACTCTAAAAACCATACCTATGGGACAGAAGCAGCACAATGGGCTTGGCATCTGCATCCCACACTCAGGAGTCCCCAGGTTTTGATGAGATGCTGGAGATGCCTTGATGCTGGTGGTGGCCAGGAGCAGCGGGCTTTCCCACAGACACTTCTTTGCTCACACAGCAAGCTGGACCAGGAGCAGCCATCCAGCCCACGCTCTCCAGTGAGCAGAGGGGCAGGACAGCTTCTTCTGTGGGGAAGGGGCAGGCGTGCAACGCCCTTCCCC